AAACCATATCTGATAAATAAAATTGAGGTAGAACTAATAGTTATATAATCGTTGTATCGTTATAAAACATATGCCATGATAACACGCGTTTAGCTTTATCAAGCTTTTAAAGAAATAAAGTAAAAAAAGAAATGTCGACACTTTGAACAACTTTTTCCCTTGCATAAGATCAGCAATCGAAGAAAATTACCGAAACTAGTCGGGCCACTTCCTCTAATTTTAGTTATTAAAGTTCTGTGTACGAATGACGTTAACCTTATTGTTCACAGGGTATTAAAGTTCTGTGTACGAATGACGTTAACCTTATTGTTCACAGTATTTATTATTCCGTTTTTAGATAAAGACAATGGCTTACCCATTTCTTTATGCTGGCAAGAAGTCCCAACGTCTACTATCGATCTATCGCGGCTATAGTGACGAGGAAGCTTATTGTTTTCATTCCCGGCTGCTGACCAGTGCATTTATTCACCGATTTTCTCGAATTTGAAGTCTGGTATGGCCAGAGAGATTTCTTTTATTATTATTTTTAACAAAATTTCTTATTTCTTGAAATATATATTAATTTACTTTCTATAGAACAGTATAACTAATAAATAAGTAGTACAAATTTTCTTATTTTTAAAATGTTTTCTTTTTCATTTTGATTGTTTATCAAATATTTGAAGACAATTCAATTTTCATTAAAAGGAATAACACACTTCCCGTTACAATCATTGATAATGCCAAATTTTCATGAATAATGACTAATTTTTCCAAAACAATTGCATGAAACTTGAACGAATTTTAACAAAGGAAATAGAAAAAAATGATACGATGTTATATTTATACGCAGCATGACTTTCTTTCATTTTAGTTCTCCGCAAGAATTTAATCATCAGAACTGAAACAAAACGTCACGAAATTGCTTGCAGGCTACAAAACAAAACGTCTAACAGGCGTCGAATATGCGTCAACAAACAACCGAACTTAATTAAACACCGCTTTTGCTGAGAAACAAGTGATTGTCTCACCTGGATCGATATATTCATCAAAAATTTTCATGCTCTCGAGAAATGTTCCAAAGGAAGAGTTAAAGAAATATGACATTAAAGTAATTCGTAATTTATCAGTTGAAAGGAATTTTCAAGAACATCTATACAACAAACGGTTTAACAATTACAATAAATTTTATTTCCACGAGATATTTCCTATTATGAGAAGAAATATAGAGAACCTTTATCTGCAACTGCTACTACTTCTCGTTCCGTTTTCTTGCAAACAACCTTCCAGCACATCAATAGCGTTCCTGATATACAAATGTTATTCCTTGGAACTAATAAAGAGGATTTTTTAAATGGCCCAGCGGAATTTTTGAGATAGATGTCGAACAATTTTCTCATTCTAACGTTATTTATATTCTATCACTATTATTTATCACCTACAAGCAAGGGATATATATTACTGAATGGAAGTGATCCTTTGTGGGGAACACCCTTAATTTATCCTATTTTTGTATTTTATTCGCGATTTGGACGTGTTGATGGAAGATATGGAAGCAGCTCTAAAGCTGTTTCGTACAGAATCGTTTAAGAAGAATGATTTTAAATTAACAGATAGTCCTTTGCCTCCTTGTCGACAATTTGAATTTGGTGAAAGGAATTATTGGTAATGTGTGACAAGGGAATACACTGCGACTATATTCCATCCAGTTGGAACTTGCAAAATGGGTCCAAAGTCAGATCCAGAGGCTGTCGTGGATGAGAGTTTGAAGGTTTATGGGATCGATGGTTTGAGAGTTGTGGATTCTTCAACTATGCCAAAAATTATTAAAGATAATACGAATGCGCCTACCATTATGATCGCGGAGAAAGCTAGTGATATGATT